CCCTGAGGTCAGTCTCTGCTTGGAGTTGGCCTGCTCCCATGTTCTGTGGAGTGTACTTTGCTCAATAAAGCTGCTCTCTCTCTTTCTGTTATAGACTTTCTGTGTGTTTGCTTCAATTCTTTGTCTTCAATCACCAAGAACATGGTTACCTGTGCCCACCTGTGTGACACGAGCACTTCAGAGCAGAAGCCACGCCATGGCCAGGCCCCCTGGCTGCAGGTCCAAGGCAGCTCCGGGTGTCACCAGGGCTTCACTGCCCACGCGCCCTTGTACGGCTTGACGTGTCCCCTTTTCTCTGAGTCATCACATTAGTTGTGGGTTTTGTTGTCGTTATTGTTGTTGCAAGTGATAGAAACTCAACCCAAACTAGATAAGACAAAGAGAAATGTCCTTGGCACATTTTTAAAACTCAGAAAGGCAGTTCGGCCTGAGGGACAACCGAGCCTGGGGCTTGAAAGCAGCTCGGACTGCCTCTCTTCCCTCTGTGCGCCCCCTCCTTCTCCAGACCAGCTTCCGGCCACTTAATAGGAAACGTGGCCTCCACCAGCCACTGAGCCTGTAGCTCTAGCCTCCAGAGACATAGAACCCCTTTTCCAGCTCTAGTTGGCAAATATTTGAAGGAGGGGCTCCATCAGGCCAGCCACAGGAGGGTCATGTGCCCACTTCGGCGATGTCCTGCTAGTCGGGGCAGAAAGGCACATGCTGGGTTTGAAGAGGGAGGCAGAGTTTTCCAAAGGAAGTGGGCGTCGTTTCCAGAAGGGACAGATGCTGGGCAGCTGCCCCCTGCACACACACTCCCTCTTCCTGCTCAGATCTTTTTTTCCCTCTTACTCTTTAAAATTTTTTCTATTGCACTTTACACTCAGCATTATTTTGTATTGGTTTCAGGTGTGTAGCAGAACGGCTAGTCAATCATGTTTCCAGTACCACCCGACACCGTACAATGTTATCTCAAGATTATTCGCTAGGTGCCTCCGCTGTGCTTTACATGACCTTTTTTATTTTACCCCAGTACTCCTACCTCCTCAAAACTTGAATCCTCCTCTACTCTGCGGCGCCTCTGCGAAGGTTATGAACCCTGAGGTTCATCGTCAGAACAAACGGTTTTCTGGCTCATCTCCACCCTTGGATAAAGCCACGTGTGCTGGGCCACGTCACAGGCCCCACTGATCCGCCATGGCGGGACAGATCCACAGCGATCTTCACCGCCGAGACACCAAGCCCGCTGCTGACCATGGCAGTGCCCTCGGCCGGGGTGGGGGTGGGGAGGGGCACGCAGGTCACCGCAGGCACAGTAACTTTGCGTGCAGTTTTCTAATCCTTAAAACCCCTGCGAGCTAGGTCATCTTACAGATGAGCAACCTGCGGCTCAGAAAGGTGATGTAATGTCCCCAGCATTGCACGGCGGTGAGTGGCGGAGCCAGTCCAAACTCAAAGGCAAAGGTCGGCTCTTTCTCAAAGATCGTACTCCGTCTCTTGGTCACACCCCTTCTGCGACAGGCTTCAGGGCATGGAGTTTCCTCTAAAACGGGGCTCAGTCAGCCCTACCGGCATCCCAGGTAACACAGGCGAGGACACGAGCCTCCCAGGTAGGAAACCAGGGTTTGTGATGAGAAAGACTGTAGAGACAATCTGCCAGGGTTAGAAAATGGGTTGGGAGAAACCCAAACTTGAATTTTTACTTGCATAAAATAGCTAATGATACTCCTTCATTTTTTAAAGGTAGACTTTTGTTTATTTATTTATTCCGAAAATAATCACGAGCACTTTCGGAGCGCCAGATCCTCAGAAAGCACCTAGCAAAGGGCCAAGAAGCCACGCAGTTCTCACATTCCGCCAGCAGAGGGAGGCAGCGTCAGCTCTGCAAAGCACAGGACTTCCCGCCTGGTCACCGGCGGAATCCCGGGGACAGCACACCAGCTGGGCCGCCACGGAGTTCAGGACACAAAGAAGTCCCAGGTGTCCCTTACACGTGTTTGCAGCTACAATGAGGGACCTCCCAGGAGAACCCAAGAACAGTCCTGAAGAACAATCCCGGAAAGATGAGGAATGAACAAAGGAAGCTCTGGGTAGAACCAACCTGCCCCACAGACAAAAAGTCCAAGAGCAGGTGAAAACCTCGGGTGCAGAACACACTCCACTGTGACCACAGCCAAGCCCTTGGCAAGAAGAACTGCGTCGTGGGACCCCACTTCCCAGCCCCAACATTCCACTGTGCTCAGTGGGAAGGGAGGAAGGGTTCCTCCAAGTCACGGCTATATAGGGGTGGAGGAAGCTACATATTGAGATAGATTTGGGAAGAAAATGCAGGCGCATACACGGCCAAGGACAGTCTCCCTAGTGAATCCACCCACGACCTGCTGGTGCCGAGAGAGGGAATAATCGTTCAAGCGGGCATTGCGAGTCTGGCGTTCCATCTCCACGTGGAACAGAATGGTCGCAGGTGCTTCCTGCCCAGCTGCTCGCCGCTCCCCTCACAAGCTGAGAAAGGCAGAAGGCAGAGCAGTGACCCAGCCCCACCCACCCCGCACCACCCGTGCTGGGGACGATGTCAAAAGGCTGATGAAGAATAAAAGGCGTCAACTTTGATTCCTCTTGACTATAAACAGTGCGGGGGGGGGGGGTTGGGAGTGGGGGCAGAAATTCTAACATCCACCCTGGTACATATATTCTGGGTATCTTCATTTTCATAAAGTGAAAATTATAAAAATCAGTTTTTCCACTTCCTTAGCATAAGCTGGTATTGATAATCTTGTTGCCGAGGCAAAAATAATAAAATAAATTAAATTAAATTAATCTCAGTCAAAAATCCAATGAGGCACTACAAGGAGTGAAGTTTGCCGTATATGCATTGTTACATGTTTAACCAGGATATGAATGAATGACGGAATGCAGTTGGCGACAAATGAGTGTGTTAAAATGGGATCACATGACCACGATGAAGGGTTGGGGAACAGAGGAGCCGACCCCATAACTCTGGCGAACAGCATTACCCCTGGATTCGCTGAGGCTAAAAACTGAGAGAACAGAGCACATTGTGCTCTAGTTGGCAAATCTGTTTCTCTGAAGGGCATATCTATATATTTCAGCTGTTTTATATGTATGCTGGGGGTGGGCGAATATATTAAAAATTATAGATAAAAGCCAGGTTTCTTCACTGCAGGACAGAAAAGTTACAAAGAAGTGGAAAGTTAGGATGAGCCATCTGGAGCTGGACTGGAGTCAGAGGTATCAGTCTGGACTCATGCTTCTGTTTTAAAAATAGACACAGAAATAAATAAAAATGCATGTATGCACAGGGGTTCGTACTCTGTGTGTGTGTGTGTTTATTCCTATGAGGAGGCTGGAAGCAGTGACAGCCCAGCATCAGCGAGCACACCTAGTGCCCTGACCTTTATTTCTAAACATTCATTCTTCAAAAAGAGCAACCAGGGCTCCTCAATTAGTGGTCAATTCCAGGGCTGAGGCAAGGAAAAGGTCCCAGAAAATAAGAAAGGGCAAAAGGGAAGGAGAAAGGAAAGGAGGGAGGGAGGGAGGGAGGGAGGGAGGGAGGCACAAGGAAGGAGGGAGAGAATGGAGCTGAATCAAAAGGACACAGGCACCAACCTGGAAGAGCCATTCCAAGGTCAAAGAGCCTGAGGCACAACCTCCTAGTGGATAGTATAGTGAGTTGTAGCCCCTAACAGGAGTGTCTAACCTTTCGGTGTCTCTGAGCCACACTGGAAGAAGAGTTGTCTTGGGCCACACGTAAATACTCTGTGACACGTAATCACAAAAAGTCTCATAGTGTTTTAAGTAAATTTATGATCTTGTGTTGGGCCATATTCATAGCCATCCTGGACCGAGGGTTAGACACCCCTGCCCTAAAATGAAATGCTGATGTCCCAACTCCAGGCTCCTGTGAAGGTGACCTTACTTGGGAGCAGTGTCTTTGCAAATGTGATCAAGTTCAAATGCAGTCATGCGAGATTCCGGTGGGCCCTACACCCACCGACAGGCGTCCTTAGGAGAAGAGGAGCAGACAGAGGCACACACGCAGGGGGGAGGTCCGTGGGAGGCTGGAGGCAGCCACTGGAGTGAAGCCGCCACAAAGCAAGGACCACTGAGGGTGGGTAATGGCCACCAGGAGCTCGGAGAGAGGCATGGACAGATTCTCTCCTGGGGACCCCAGAAGGAACCTATTCTGCAGACACCTCCCTTTCAGACTTCTGACTTCCAACACTGTGAAAGAATAAAAACCTCATATTTTGTGGTAATTTGTTACAGGAGCCCTAAGAAACCAATACAGATGGTAAAAATTAATGGGTGAATGTTTAAGCAGAAATAGAATATTTGCCTAATCTCAAAGTACCTCAACTTACAAAAGGAAAATAATGACATCACCCAAATGAAACCTGGTGGCCACCACCTCAGCCAACCGTCAAGGTCGACATCACCGGTCACACATATTTACATCACATTCCCCAGATGTGATGCAACGAGGAAGGCCTCGATGGATGCCTTCCATAACGCAAAACCTTGATACAATCAGATGGGCTGGGCTGGCAAACTTCAGTGGAAGGGCACTTTACAAAGAAACTGACCGTTACACTCTCAAGCGCCAAGATCATGAAACAGAAGAGAAGACAGAAGGGGAACCACACGTCAGAGGAGACAAAGGAGACCAACAACCACGTGCAGTGGGGGATCCTGGAACAGAGAAAGGGCGTCAGCAGGACAGTTGGAGAGGTCAAATAAAGTTGTGTCTTCATGAGTTATAATACACCTACGGTAAGAGTCTTAGTTTTGATCATTGTTCCATGGTTACACGTTAACACGAGGGGAAAGGGCATACGAGAACTCTTGGTGCTACTTTTGCAATTCTTCTATATATCCAAAATTACCTTCCAATTTCAAAAATCATGATGGCGGGGCTGAGCAATGGTGTTGCCATGGGGGGAAACTCTGATGAGCAGAGTCAGCCACATGATTACTTGCCAAGTCAGACATAAGAAACACACTGCATTTGACGTTTTTATTTTTAACTCTGCTTTGGTAGTACAAAAGTCGTAAAAGTACAAACCAGACAGTTAAAAATACACTTCACACTCAAAAGGGTGAAAATTTTCCTTTACAAATTTTTACATCCAGGTGTCAGCCAGCTCATTCTCGACCCCCGGGGTCAGTCCACGTTAGTGTTCGGGCGAGCGCACCTGCGGGGGCGGGGCCCGACCCCTGGTGGGGGGGAGGAGGGAAAACACCAGGCCTGTAAACATCGGTTGCTTTGGGAACACTTGGGAGTATTTATTAGGTCATAGAAACCAGTAGAAAGCTGATGTGTTGAAAATATTGAATGCTTAACATTTGGCATATTTGGAAGACAGACAAAAACTGCTCAAGTATTAGAAAATATTTAAAACATACTACTGGCATATATACAACTTTAAATATTTTTGGGTATTCTCTTGCCTGTTGTATTGCTATTAAAAAAGTTCTCTGACCTGAATAAAGTTAAAAAATACTTAAAGCTGAAGAATATCTTACATGTTATCCCTCACCATTTTGAGGGCATACTCTTTAAACAACAAAATAAGTGTTCTTCTTTTAAAACTGAAAATATTGGTCTAGACCGCACATATATTATTTACATTAATTCACATCCCCCAAATTCCTACATTGCTACTTCTTGGACCTCAGTGATATTTGTGTCCATACTGACCTCCTCTAGTCCCCTGTGCAAACATGAACTAAACCTCCCATTCCTGTAAAAGGTTAGGAACTTTTAGTTTGATGCCAGAAACAGAATGGAATGAGCATATGTCCAGTAAATACTACTTTCAGATACGTTTTCATGGAAATCACCTTCCTGGAGCCAAACGAGAAATGTGCCTTCCCTCTCTGAAATAAAAGGAGTGTCAAGCAGGCAGGTCTCGGAGATCTCCCTGCACGCGGGCCCTCCCAGCCTGCGGCCCAGACCGGCCACCAATGTCCCCTGCATTCTGTCAGGAGTTTCATAAACTCTAAGGCAAAAAAAAAAAAGTAGGGTTTTCCAAGCCCAGAGGGGAAGTAACCACCAAGGTTCTTGTAAATGACAAGCATTAGTTACAAGCTGCAAAACAGCAAGTGCACCAGGGAAAAGAAGCCAGAGGGAGGGGCGGGCCCACCTGCCAGGACAGTGGAGGTTTTTTGGTTTTGTAACTTTAACTTATTTTCCCCTTTCTTGAGTGGACTAAACAAGAATTGCTTAGCTCAAGTAAAAAAAAAAAAAGAACTCTCAATATTTTATACGTGACCTAAGAGAACGGCATGGTGAGTCCTTGGTCCACCAGCTAGTTCCGTCTGACTCTGTGACCTCTGGCGAGGTCAGTGTCTCAGGGCTAGACTGGGTTATCTTCAAGGACCTTCCACCACCCAAGAGTCATCTTTATCTTTTGTAACAGTTAAACTGTAGATCTTCTTACAACCAGTGTAAAATTGGAAGTAAGGGTTGTGGGAACAGAAGCACTTACACACACACACACACACACACACACGTGTACTCTCACACACAGAGAGAGCATCAGCTCAGACTGTACACAAGTAATTCCACTGTACACAGTGATCATTCTGGAAGAACGGTACACACGAAGGCCAGGGGTGGGGGACTGGGAGGGGCAGTGGCTGAAAGTAGCTGGGAAGATAAAAAATCAGTTCTTCTCTTCCCTGGACATATAATAAATTTTTGTCAGGTTTTTTTTTTAAACCAAAACTTGTTTCAACGCCAGCTGAATTCTGTATCCAGCAGAGCAAAAAGATTTCCTTTCAGCTTTTTCCGTAGGCCTGCAGACTCCAGAATAGCAGTCATGTAAAAGATAAAAAATATTTCTTGGGCAACTTCATCTCTCGTTACGTTTTCAGTCTTTTAGAACTCTTCAAATGCAGTCATTCCTGAAAGAGAAATCAAGACAGGTAAAGCTTTATAAAAGGTAAGCATAGTATCACACACTGATCTGCCCGAATATTTAAAACACAGAGAAAGTGTAATCCATCCCTACCCTGTCCCACCCCGTCCCACAGCGTTCCTTCCCCCATTGCACAGTTCTTCTAGAAGGCAGGCTAAAGAAATGTAAGCACCACAGTTCCAAAAAGACCTCATTATCAAGGTTTTAGAAACGAAGAAAGACGAGACGTTGAGAACCACAGTGGATGCAGGGTATCGGTCTGCTCTAACACGAGTTTCTAGGGCGGGCCTCCGCCCCCCACCCCGGCCCTCCCCCCGTGTGTCCCGTGTCTCTCCTCGGGCCTCTTCTTTAACTCCTCAGCCACGCCGTGTCACGTGAACACGCTCAGTCCCGAGGAGCCTTAGCTATCCGGCGTCTAAGCCACACCAAACAGAGGTAACTCAGAGTCCCTAGAGCACGCAGGGCAGCTGGGCTGGGATTTCACTAGCAAGTCAGAGCACAGGACGACTGCTTGGTCCTAGGTCTTCGCTGTACGTACCCCCAGGGCTCCGTGTTGTGTTAGTAAGCTCTGCTATCAACTCTTCCAAGGCGTGTCTGCACTTACATGGCAAACGAAGTCTCCTGTACACTTGTAACACAGTGTTCTCTTTTCCAAAGGGTGTCTTTCCCCCCGCCCCCCAAGATCTCTTCTACGTGACAGATGGTTATGCACCCTTCGCTTTCCCTGTTTCCGAGACTGGGCTAACCCAGGATGGAGCTGTGAATGCTGGAACACACACACCAGGCAGGCCAACCTCCAGGCTGAGGAACAGGACGTCCTCTCGTCTGCCGGAAGTGTGTTTGCCTGTAATGCTAAACAAAGCCAGAGATGACACCGGCCAGCAGACATGCGGAGAAAGAGCAAGAAGTTGATAGACATGTCTCAATGTAAGCATTACTTCATACTTATTTCTAATTCACCCTTCAAAATATAGTCTATTATTATCCGTAAGATTCTTTTCTGTCACTTTATAGTTTATAATTTTCATAGTGGTTATCTGAGAGAGAGAGAGAGAGAGAGAGAGAAAGACAAAGATACTGATTTACTAAACCAAATAGGCTGATGAAGGACACTTATCCCCTTAGCTAAAAAGGAAATGAAATATTGTCCCTAAAACAGCACACACTGAGTCATTCATTATAAACAAAATAATTCCCTGCACTTTGTTGCCACAACCTAGCATGGCTAAACCATGGATTTGAACCCTAAAACTATACAAAGTCAAGTCTGGGAATATTTTCAGTTGACAATTGATTAATATGGAAAAGACTAGCAAGAAAAAAAAATGTAGAAAGGCCAGAGGTGGAGAAATAGAAAAATGGTCCTAAAAGGACAAAAAGAGAGGAAGAGAATTTTCCCAGTATAACTTCAAACTAGGCCATTATCTAGAAAATTGGTATTCGACTATTTTTATTACTCCTTTCACCATCTGCTCCCTTTGAACTAGACTTTCATGCATCAAGGAGAACAGGGCCAAGGGTGAAGGATGTGAGGCGTAGAATGGAACGTTTCATCACAGCAAGAGCTTTCATTCCAACGTAGGAGCCATTCCCATCTCCAGCTCTTCGCGCAGATCTGACCCCTGTTAGTGGGCGTGCTCCACGGAGGGCTGGATGGGCAAAGAGGGGTCTGTGGCCTGACCCCGTGACCTGCTCCCGCGCTGGCACACTCGCACTCCCTCGTGGTCGTGGTCAGGCAGTGGGGTTTCACACAGGATGAAGTTCGCACAATGCTGACGAGAGAGCGGAGTGGTCAGCGACCCGCCCGAAGGGGTGCTCTTAGGGTCAGGACCATCCTGCCTTCTCCGCCCTGAACCGTGGCGTGGGCTAACAGGGGCCCTCTGTGGGCCTGTAATTATCCATTCGATACCACTGGACCATGGTGGATGAGGGCTCCTTGAATCTGTGGAAAGTAAAACTTCGAATAATGGGAGTGGGGAGGGGAACCACTGTATCTTTTTAAGGAAGGCATGTAGATCCCTGGTTAAAAAGTGTTCACTAGAAAAAAGGATCTGGTCCCTTTAAAAATTTCACACATGATTTAACACGTTAAGTATAAAGGCCTCAAAGGACAGGTGTCAAGGAAGGAAACGGCCACCTGATCAATAACAACAGGAGCTGGCATTTACAGAGCGCCTCCTCTGTGCCAGGTACTGACGTGCTAAGCACTGGAGGTTCAGTGACTCAACCTTCCCAACGGTCCCACGAGTCAGTGACAATTGCCATCTTCACAGGAGGAAGCCAAGGCTCACAGGTTCAATAACGCGCCCAAGGCCACACTATAAGGGTCACCCCAGACAGCACTGTCACACCAGCCATTCCAGATACACCGTGGCGCCGCTGAGATCTGCCGGGTCCCTCCCTTCTCTGCTCCCCGCCTGCGTGGGGCGATGGACAGGAAGTGCAGAGCCCAGAACCGCAGGCAGGGCCACTCTCCGGGGAAGTCGCTGTGGCTGCACAGCACTAGCTACACTAAAGGGTGCTGAAAACCTGCACCCGAAGAGGGACCCGCATCAAAGGTGCACCTGTGTGACAGTGAGGAGACACACAAGCCTACAGGACCACACGGCCAGCTTCAGAATTATCGAGAGCACTTTTAAATACAACCAATGGGGAAAGTTATCTATGGAAACAGAGTTAAAATTGCAACAGTAATATTCACACTCTAGTCCTATAGCAACAGGTATGTGATCTTTCACCAGTGACCTCTAACCCTTCAGGATCAAACGTCCTAGTTAGAGGATTGTCTGGAACCAGGCTTAGTCGACACTCCGGTTACGTGCTGGCCACGGCTAGTGGAAAACACGTGACCACGTGACCACACCATCTTGGCACAGTGCTGCCTGCATGGACGGGCACCTTGCCGGGTGCAGATTAACAGGAAGATAGCAGAAGGTGCCTGGTGCCTCTGGTCCTTTAACTCTCGTTTTGGTCTAAAGTCTGTGGTATTAATACTAATACCACTAGTGCTAATTAATATCAATACCGTTCTATTTTAATGAAGGCTCCATGTTTATTTAGAAAGCACAGCAGACGCATGCTCGTCCGGGCCAACCCATGCAGAATCTTTAAGTCAGCATTCTCGGAATAATCAGGGCACACACTTTAGAATGGGCTCGAGTATCATTAAAAGCAGCAGGTTCTTTGGGCCAGACCCACAACCTACTCAATCAGAACCTGTGTAGCTGGAGCCCCGGACTCTGCTTCCGAGGTGCCCAGGGGATTATGCCCGAATAAGGCTTGAGTCAAAGGGAAACCCTGCACTGTTTGTCAACTGGTAACAACCAGAAGAACTAAATTTAGCCCCGAAAGGCAAACCCTGCAAATGCGACACTGCAAAGTCAGCCAAGGTCAAAAACTCTATCACAGAAATGGAAGAGGAAACAGGTAGGACAGAAACATTTAGAGACTGAAATGTAAATGAAAAAACTTAGTAACTCAATCTGAACTACAAAATTTTTGAAACTAAAATTCAGCTGATCGGCAGAGGTCTGTTTTAACGAGCACATGAGTGAGCTATCATCACACCTGTTATAAGTTATCGCTGGAGGCCAGCTGCATACAAAGCGCCACCTGAAGGCACAGCCTTAGCCTTCAAAGAGCCTGGAGCTTGCAGAGAGAGAACTTAAATAATCAGCTTCGAGCTAAGACAAAATGCAACCCAAAACAAACCTGGGTATTTCAAAACTTGCTTTTTCATCTAGGAGTGCATTAGTAGATGCTCTGTGTCTGTACGTACAGCTCTGCTCACCAGCGTGGCCTCCCTGCTCAGGTGTATGACCACGCCCATCTCCCTGCACCCCCTTCAGCACGCGCTAACCCGGGAGACCATGGAACTGGGCTGGCTGCGGGGTCTCGGTTTACATATGTTTATTCTGTGATTAAATATGGATAATATTTATAGTGTTCCCTTTGACTCTCAGATGAGTCTCATTCTGGATGGAAGTTATACCGTCATGCTAGTGTTAACATTCATCTTCGCCAACAGAAAGGCAAACAGTGATCTCATTTCAGTATGCATTTATTTGATCATTAGTAAGGCTGGGCATTTTTCATAGTTATTGAACATTGCGTCTTCTGTGCATTGATTATAAGGGTTCTGCACCCAATTCCAGTGTGTGTGTGTGTGTGTGTGTGTGTGTGTGTAAGAGAGGGGGGGAGATGGAGGAGGGACACACAGGACAGCAAGTTCCAGCCCTCTGATCACACGGCTGGCTGGCTGGCTCCCCTGGCAACCAGCTCCCAACTTTGGGAACTGGTTACTAGGGGCTTTACAAGTGACCTCTGCGGCACAACAAAAGTCACCTTTGGCTCTCACCACTTAGGAAATGTCAAACATTCTATTAGCTCTGTGCCAGAACTGGGTGTGAAGACCAAGTATGTATTTCTTATTATAAATCACAATATCACAGATTGCCACATCATAGCCCCTACTTTGGAAAGGAGTTTCAGAATTAAAATTTTAGTTTTTTTTAATTAAAATGTTTATAGGTATTTTTTTCCATTCCAAATGGAAACAGCTTTTTAAAGTCACATTGGGATAAAATAGATATTCCCACACATTATATTGCCCTCTTCATGGAATAATGCCAAGGTCAGATTTTGCGTCCATCAGAGTTTGACTCTTCTGACAGCAGATTTGGCCCTTACTGGGTCATCTAAAGCTTGCCCCTCACTGAGTTATAGCCTCACAGCAATTTAAACATGTTCATATATTTAGCAAAAATGGGTTTCCTGAGAGACAGTGACTGAACACTTGTGATTTACGAGCCCTTTGACAGCAAGAGTCAGAGCACTCTGTTCCAAGTAAAATGTAATTGGCATAAAAAAATTTATCTGTATCCAGAGAAACAGGGTTCGCCTGGGAAATATTTAAATGCAATTCAGCAGCATTCGTCTCAGCGCTAGGATTCAATGTCTACATTAAGCTACAGGTAGAATAACTTA